AAAAAAAAAAAAAAAAAAAAAAAAAAAAAAAAAAAGGAAAAACCTCCCAAGCGCTCCGAAAATAAAGGAAAGGAACCGCACCCAGTTGTGCGAGAGACTAGGTTTCCAGGCTCACCTGCAATTCGAGTTTCTCCTCTTCATCCAGACTCTCGGATTTCACAATGCCATTCTCTGGGGTGGCCGACTCCTGCTCAGTCCCGCCTTCCTCCACGATGGCCGGATTCAGGTCTCCTGGCTCGGACATCCTCCCGGACGCAAATTAAAATCGCAAGGTTCGATGCCCTACGAGGTGAAGAAGTCAGAACGTAAAGTCAGCGCACTGTAGAGCCTTGACTGTTATTCCCGGGGCATTTCATGTCTCCTTTTGTATTCGAATTCAAATGAGCGACTCGGGCGGCTCTGTCACTGTGACACAAGGGGAGAACGACGAAGCCAGATCAAATCCAGTACCCAAGGCAAACGCGAGAGGCAGATTCGGGCGCCCTCTCCACACCCCCTCCGCACCCATACACACACACGCTTGCGAATACACACCTTGCCATCAAAAGGGATCGACAAATCTTAGGTGGAGACGCGGAACTCCCACACATCTACCAGTCCCTATGCCCCACGACAAAGCAGGGGAGAAAGAGAAACAGAGTCTCCGTCCAACTCTTGGAAGAAACGACCCTCCGCCGCTGAGTCACGGGGTGCTCTGGGTGTTGGGCAGCAGGCCCCAGACGATTCGAAAAGTATTTGCGAGTTTTCAACCGGAGGCACGCTTTCCCAGGCACGGGGAATACAGGACGCCGTGCGAGGGGCAAAAAGCAACTGAAGAGGTAAGGATTCCGTTCGTACACGGCATCTAAATTTGGCAATAACACTTTCAGGGCCAACGCTGTCCGGCTTCAAACTGACAGCTCCGTTATTGAAGGCAAAAGTGCTCTCCCAGGCTCCCACCAGCCGCTGGGGCTGCCCCGACCCTGTAGAAGGAAGTCTCTGGAAGGCGGCTCTAATGAAGCTATGGCCACTGAGCCCTGCTCCTCGGGGCTCACACTAGACCACTACATGGACACTGGAAATGGCTTTCCAAAGGGAGAGCCTGTTACTATCTTCTGTCCCCCGACCCCATACCACCCCTGACCCTTCCCCTTCCTGATGGGCCGTCAACCGAGGTGCATGAATGACTGAGCATTTACTTCCCCCTCGGTTTTTCTTGTTTTTTGTAAGATGTGAGAAAAAACGCAGAGGAGAGGGACGAAAGAAATACGGAAGGAGTGAAGGAAGGAAAAAGAAAACGAGAAAGAAAGACACCGTGACCCAGAAAGTCCATCTGTCCACAAAAGTTCTTCCACAAAATTCCCCCAAAGGGAGGGCTGTTCTCCTACTGCTCATTACGACGGTGATTATTATCGTACACAACGGTGGTAACGTTTCCCTGGGAGTGTTTAATGACCATTTACTAAATTCAGGCACTTGACTTCCAACTGCATAGAGGAAGCATGAGAAAAATCTCGACCACAGCGACTTCTGTGGCAAATCTGCTAAGATCCACCGTGACAGAACAGATGGCACCTAATGATATCTTTAAAAACAACGCAGGCTTCCTCAGCAAAGGATTATGGGAATGCCAAAGGAAGACTTGCCCAAAGGCTGGTACTCGAGTCTGTGAGTTACTGGTGAGCAATGCTTTCGAGTCAGAGGAGGCTTTAGGATCTTCCATCCAGCGTATTCAGACGGACGCCTCACACTTTAGTGACACTGGCTGGGCTATGTGTGTAGCTAACGAAGGTTGTTTCTTGAGGGCAAACACCGTGTTTCTCAACCTATTGGGTAGGGGGAGGCGATGGGACTTCATGGCCCTGACTCTTTCTTCAAAGCCTTTCAACGAGAAAGGAGATTGTGACCAACTTTAAAATGGAAGGAACAGATCGAGCTCTACTAACTTTATAGACTCTAAGCCAGTTGAGTCCCTGTCATAGATGCTGTCTGTAGTGGTTACACTCACGGACCTCTTCTTGGCACACGTTTAGACAGTAACAAAATACAGATGAGCTGACAGCCAGACAACGAGGCCTTTACCTTTCGTGCAGAGCTCCTGACGTAGGTCTTGGCGACTTACTGGCGGCTTCTGTCGCTCTACCCCGGGAAAATCCACACCAGTGATCAGAGACAACTGGAGTCCCATGTCCCCATTAACAGTTCAGAATGCCCATCTCCCTGCGATTCCCTTACACGGCGTGACCCATCGTCAACCTGAAAGAAAGACGAGAAGTCAATAATCATAATGGCAACGGTCACGGCGGGGCGAACGACCAAAACAATCGGACCCGATTTCTAACGCTAATGACCAGCTTCCAGCAAATCACGTTCACAGCTCGATCAGCCCCACCTGTCTCGGGCTGCCTGCTTCTTCTCTAACGAAGGCTACAGCCCGACTGTTCAAGTCAGAGCGGCACCCACGCAGGGAGCTAAAATTAACGATTGCATTATGCGCCGAAGATTACTCACTTCAATTTTAACCTTTTTTAGTGAAATCTCGCACTTTATATTAAAAAAAAAAAAAAAAACCAACAACCAGTTCGTGTGTCTGCCTCAATGAGCATCCACATCACCCCGTGAGCTAAAAGTCTTGCCTCCTTTTTTAAAAAACCAAAGGCTCTTTGCTTCAATCGTAGATGAGTATCATATAGTCTAATGCCGTTTCCGTGCCTCCTTTTTAATGAAGCGTACTTGAAGATTTTGATTTAGCGAGCATTGGCTGTAACAGTTAAAAAAAAAAGAAAGAAAGAAAGAAAGAGAAAAGAAAAAAGAAAACTTTCACCGTGGCAGGGCTGAGAGCACTTGTGCCCTCCCCACTTCCAGCCTGGCATGAAGAATTCCTAATATTCTCCTTGGCAAAGCTGTAGCACAGCTCCCTCCCCCTGTTCCCCTCCCCTCCCCGTTAGGGCCACCTAGCCAGCCGGTTCTCGGTTGACAACAAAGAAACGCATGTCAGATTTGACAGTCATCCTGATACTTAGACGTGGAAACAACCCCTCGCTCTCATGTGCATTTTCTCTTTACACTGCTGGGGGGGCAAGGCAGCTCGGAGCAGGTAAACCCAGAGACGGATCCTGCGCGAATTTGCCAAAACCAAGCATGGGTAGCTCTCCCTTCCGCGGCAACCCTGGGGCATGCCTGCGAACTCCCAGCTGCACGGACACCTCTCCCCATCATACGCCCATCTTTGCAAACACCCGACTGCAGCTCAGTTGTTCGTCCGAGTTGGGGAGCAACGTCTCCTCGCCTTCCCAGGCTGCCCCAAGTTTAAATGAGCACAGCTGGCTCCTCACCAGATTTTACCGTGGCTCTAAGGACAACATATTGGATTACAACACCATTTGTTGTGCAAGGGGAGAACAACTGTTGAAAGCGGGATCACTAACGGAGTCAGTGATTTCTAGTCTCATTCCTGTCTTATTACAACGGCCAAGTTGGCTTTCCGATGCTTCTTTTGTTGCTAAACACCATGCAGCTATGAGAGAGAAGCAAACGTGCATTTAGGGCAAAAATGGATCGCTCATCAACAGTCATTTCAAGTTTTCAATTTCGACCGGTTTCACCACGGCCACTTGGCTAACGCCCGATATTAAATAGAAGTCAACACGTCTTACAATTAGGATCTATTTAAGTAACCAGCCCATTATCTAATATGTCTCAGAATAGGCACCAGTGATGGATGGCATTACCACATGTTCTGTGGCTTCTGTTTTCCTTTTCCCAGAGAAAATGAAGTTTTCAACGATCACCGCGATCTTTTGGTCTTCCTTCTCTGATCCTCATATTTGCAAAGTGGCATTTAATCCAGCAGGTGAATGGCAACGTAGTTTTCAAATCTAAGCCTCAGATGCATTATTCCAGCCCCAGCAGGTGGATATAAGATATAATTCTTTCCACGAAGAAAGAGGAAGAACAAACTGGTATTCACGTAACCAACCCAAAGCGGGAACAGCCTGGATGCGTGTATGTGTGTGCGTGTGTGTGTGTGTGTGGCGTAATTACCAGGACACGTTTTGAAATAGCACCGAGCTCCAAAGTCAGCGAGGTATTATTCTTGCACGCCTGAATCATAAAGTTATCATCTACCGAGATAAAAGAGAATATGGGCAGATGGGGATGAGCAGAGGAACATACGGATCACAAATATTTTTGTAACTGATTAAAATTGTTCTCTTTGCTAAGAAAGCAGTGCCAGGAAATCAACCCTACTCCGGCTTTCTGTTCGCCAAGCTACCCGACTCTTCCATGGCTATTTAATATAATCTGTTCAAATTTCCCCCATTCTCACAAGAGAGCAAAACTATTTTTACCAAGTTATCTTTTATCCAACATTTGAGTAATGGATATTCTGGACAAGTTTCAATTGTGATAGTGGGCTTGGGGGGTGGAGAGAAAAAGGAGACTCTGTACAAATGCACAAAATAAACGTTACCATAGTTCTTTCAGTGGAAATAACATTTTAAACATAATTTAGGGGATAGTATGTCACAAAGGCAGTCAATCGCATGTAAGACAAGCTATAGGAAATTGATCGACAAGGCTGCCAGATGTTTACGATGCGGAAAATGAGTAAAATCATTACCGTTTCACATTATATTTAGGTTTTCTTCTCGAGCTTACTTCCGAGTTGAAAACAATAGCAACTGTGGGATCACGGGGATGAGAAAGACAGGAAGAGAGGGGAGCAAGACATAACCACTGGGCTGTCATGTGGTGAGAGATCCGGATTAGATTCAACTTCCAGGAGTGATTTAGTTCTCAGGGGATATCTAAAATAGGAAATTAACGTGGAATTCTACTAGCAAGTCAGGAAGGTCCCTTTATTAGTTACTTTCCTCACCATCCTTTTACTAATAATTAACACAGGATGGCTCATCTTATTTCAAATCAATAGAGGCACCAGATGATGAAATAACACAATCAACACTGATTTACTGGAACAATTGAAATATTTCTGCCCTAATGCATCATCCCTTCTTTTTTATTTTAAGCTGGTCCAACCTCTGCAAACAGATGCCACTTGCAAATTGTGGTGACATTAGTGATGTGTCAATTGGCTGTGTAAGGTGTTCAAAAGCTGTGACACCTTATGAACGAACGACCTATCCTATTCTCAAAACGGTTATTCTGTCAATGCTTAAAATATTTTGAGCATGTAAAATTAAGTTTAAAGAGTAAAAAAAAAAATGTGATTGGAATGTGATCCTTCCAGAAATGAGATCAACCATGGCATGACCAGAGTGTACAGACTAACATCTTCAGCAAGTTTGAACTTTTTCCCCAGGTGACAAAAAACATCGATAACAAATTTTCACATCAGTTTAATTTCCCAAAGAAAATTTTCTTGGTCAATACACGAAACAGTCAACCAGGAGCTCTACCCTTTAACTAAGCTCTTTGATTGACCTAATGCAGAGGCATTCTGTAATATTCTTGAGCCACCCGTGCAAATGCCAAAATGGCCAGACAACTGTCTGGGAGAGGAAGAACCGGGGGGGATGTTTAAGAAAAGGAATTTTCATACTTGGGTTTTAGAATTAGAAAAATTCTACACGAATGTTCTCCTTTGAGTTTTAAGAGTTAGGCAGCTTACGAACACGTAGAGCTCTTATGTAGGATATCACTTTTTCTTGTTTACCCAGACACAAACACAACCTGGACCAACATCGAGCAGAACCCCAGTAATGGAAATAATTGGTGTCACAGCTTTGGACATAAGAAGAGCCCCACGATAATCACAAGTGCCTTTAAAACAAGAGAGATGTGATCTCAGTAAAAACATCCAATGGAGAAAAACCAATGTTTCAATTCTCCATTCTTCTAACAAGTCTTTATGGAATGTCTACTATGTGTAAGGATATTCTACACTATGACATGATATTCAAGTCAATGAATACAGTCTCAAAAAAAGCCACTTTTTTTTCTAAAAATGCAAAATAAAGGTTAAATACTTCTAATGGATCCACATGAGAAATTTCAAAGACGGGTGGAGGACTTTTATCGTCACCACCCACTTTGTGATTATTCATGAACTGGCAAATAAAGATGACTTCTGCTTTTGTAACTCTAAAATGTTTCCTCCGTGTATTGCAAGGTCAGGAAACATAAACTTGGGGAAGCAGCCTGATGCACTTGACCCCAGAGTAAGTATTTGGATCTTCCCCTAGAGTGAACTACTTGATAAAAGTAATTAACATGAAATGTAGGTGGGATTGGTAGAAGATCTTACATTTGGCTTCTAAAAAAACAGGTTACATCACTTGGAATATTTAGCTGAGACAAGAGAAGACTTAGAAAGGACATCATAGCTATTTTCAAACGCTCACAGAATATTCAGAGAGAGAGAAATTAGCCTTGCTTGGTGTTGCTCCAAACTTCAGAACCAAGGAAAAAAGAATAAAAAAGAAGCTACCATTTTAAACATAGAACTACCATATGACCTAGCACTTCAGATATATACTCCCAGTATGTGTGTGTATATATATATATACATACATATATTACATATATATACATTATATCATATATATTATGCATATTACATATATATATATTATATTATATATAGTATATATATTACATATATATACATATATATATATATATATACTATATATATATGTATATATATACTATATATACACACACATCCAAAAGGATTGAAAGCATGGACTCGAACAGATACTTGCACACCTGTGTTCATGACAGCATTATTCATAACGGCCGAAAGGTGAAAACAACCCAAGTGTCCATCCACAGATGAATGGATAAACAGAAAGGGGTACACACACGCAATCGTGTGCCTTAGAGAGGAACAGAATCCAGATACCTGCTACAACATGGATGGACTATGAAGACATTAGAAGCCAGACACAGATCAAATATTGGATAATTCCACTTATATGAAGTACCTCGCATAGGCAAACCTATAGAGATAGAGAATAGATGTTTCTGGGGGCTGGAGATAAGGAGGAACGGAGTTGTTATTTCATGGGTACAGAGGTTTTGCTGGGGACAAGGAGAAAGTGGTGGGTATAGATGTGGTGATGGTTACACAACACTGTGAATGGATTTAATGCCACTGAA